CCCCGGGGGAGAATGGCCACGTGGTGGGCGCTGCGCTGGCCTGGGGGGTCCCCGGCGTGGGCCAGGGCCCACTGAGCAGCACGGCAGACCTGCAGCCCCCCAGCCCCAGCCCTGATGCCCCCAGAGCCCGGGTATCGGTCACCTCCGTGGGCCTGGGGTCTGCCCTGCGGGCTCTGGAGGGGTCTTGCCAGCCGGGGTCACTCCCTGCTCAGACAAGCCCTGCCCTGCCCCTCTCCCCCACCCTGCACACGGGGCTGGGAGGGAATCCCCCCCCATTGCTGCTCCATGGGTCAGGGGGTTGAAGCCCCCCACTAACCCCCTGACAGCAGCAGGATGTTGGCGGCTACGGCCCCTCTGTGTCCCAGGGGTGGGGGCTGTGTCGGGGCGACGGTGTTGTGTGGCTCTGAGGTTGCACACGGGGTTTGCCTTGGACGGAGCTGATCCTGCCCCAGGTTGGATGTGACCGTGCAGCTCCCTGCGGGCCCCACAGCTCGAGGACTCCTCTGACAGTGCTAAGGGGCAGGTGGCATGGCATGGCATGGCACGGTGCAGCCCCTGGGCATGCTGCCATGGTGCCAGGCCCCCTGAGCGGGCAGGAGTCCAGGGTGGGATGAAGGGGTCGGAGGTCTTGGCCAGGCTTGCCAAGCCCGAGGGCAGCAGAGAGAGGGGTGATAGCATCAGACAGGAGGCAGGGGAGGGAGGGTGCAGCCTCTATTCTGCAAATATTCTCCCTCCACCAAGGGCCGTCTCCTGTGACCCCCACCCCACGGACACCAGCCCCCGGGAGCATGCCCCTGCCACCAGGCCTGGCCACAGCCGGCCCGCCCTGCACCGGACACCCCCAAACCGGGCCACGGCCCCGCTCACTGGGGGAGCCCGCAGCGCCGCGGTTGCCAGCTGGAAGCCTCCAGCGCCCACGCATTGGCTGCCGGTGGCTGTTCCTGCGGAGAAAACGGGGGCGGGGGGGGCGGGCTCCGTGCCTTCCGGGTCCCCGTGGACATCACACGGGAAGGGATGGGCTGGGGCTTGGCATGGTCAAGTGGCAGAGCTGGGTGGGGGTCTCCGGCCCTGGGGACCCAGACAACGTCCAGCCTCTGCAGGGAGAGGAGAGCGGCTGGGTGCAGAGCCCCCAGGGCCGGGCGTTTCATCCTGGCCGAGGTCCGCCAGGGATTGAGGCCCCTCTTGAGTCCTGACTCTGCGCCCCCCAGGCCTGTCCTTCCCCCCGCAGGTGCCCGCGCTCTGCGAGCCACGTCGTCCCCTCGCCTGAGTCCAGCCCGGGGCAGATCCCTGTGACTGGTGACACCAGGGTCCCTGCCGCAGGGTTGTGCCCTGGGCCACATTGCATGTGCACATGCGTGCACGCGCCGTCCTGGCCTCACCAGCGCACCCCACTGGGACCCTGGCGTCGCTGCCCTGGGATTTACCCGGTGGCCTCTGAGGCTTAGCCCCATGCCGGGGCCGCCTCGCCTGCAGCGGGTGCTGGAAGAAGGGGTGCTGGGTGCTGGCTCCACTGTGGGTAGTTCAAACCATGCCAGGCTGTGGTGTGCCATGCCGTGCCGTGCCGTGCCATGCCATGCTACAGTGTGATCTGCTGTGTCCTGCCATGCTGAGCTGTGCCATGCTGTGTGCCGTGCTGTGCTGCATCATGTTTTGTCAGTCTGTACTGTGCCAGGCTGGCTTGCAGTGCCATGCCATGCCATGCTGTGCTGTGCTGTGCCACGTGTCGTGCTGTGCCCCGCCATGCTACGATGTGCCATGTCATGCTGTGCTGTGCCATGCCCTACCGTGCTATGACATGCTGTGCCATGTTGTTTCATGACATGCCATGCTACGATATGCTTTGCCATGCCCTACCATGCTATAGCATGCTGTGCCACATTGCATCATGCTGTGCTATGCCATGCTATGCTGTGTTATGCCATGCCATGCCATGTTATGCCATGCCCTATCGTGCTATGACATGCTTTGCCATGGGGTGTCATGCTGTGCTATGCCATGCTATGCTATGTTGTGCTGTGCCATGCTGTGCTGTGCCATACCATGGCATGCCATTCTGTGCTGTGCTGTGTCACGCTGTGCTGTTCCATGTTATGCTGTGTTATGCTATTCTGTGCTGTGCTATGACATGTTGTGCCGTGCCATGTTGTGTTGTGCCATGCTGTGCTGTGTCATAACATGCCTTGCTGTGCTATGTCACACTGTGCTGTGCCATGCTATGATGTGCCGTGCCGTGCCGTGCCATGCTAGGCCATGCCATGCTGTGTAGTGTCATGCTGTGATATGCTGTTCCATGCGGTGTCAAGTCATACCATGCTGTGACCTGTGATGCCATGCACTATGATGCTATGCTGTGCCATGCCCTACCATATCATGCTACGATGTGCCATGCTGTGCATGCCATGCCATGCCATGCCATACCATACTACGACATGCCATGTTGTGAAGTGTCATGCTGTGTTATGCCACTCCCTGCGGTGCCAAGCTATACCATGCTATGACAAGCGGTGCCATGCCCTACCATGTCATGCCATGCTGCAGTGTGCTATGCCATGCCATACTGTATTGTCATGCTGTGCCACGCCCTACCATGCTTTGACACGCTGCACCACATCACGTCATGCCATGTGCCGTGCCATGCCATGCCAACACCCGTGTCCGCTCGCGCCCGCAGGTGGTGCTGGACAACATGCGGCGGAAGTGCAAGTGCCACGGCACGTCGGGCAGCTGCCAGCTGAAGACGTGCTGGCAGGTGACCCCCGAGTTCCGGCGTGTGGGCACGCTGCTCAGGGACCGCTTCTTCGGGGCCACGCTCATCCGCCCGCACAACCGCAACGCGGGGCAGCTAGAGCCCGGCCACGTGCGGCACCGGCGCCGCGCCGGTGTGGGAGACCTGGTCTACTTCGAGAAGTCGCCCGACTTCTGTGAGCGGGAGCCAGCGCTGGACTCGCTGGGCACCCGCGGGCGCCTCTGCAACAAGACCAGCCCGGGCATGGACAACTGCGAGAGCCTGTGCTGCGGGCGCGGGCACAACATCCTGCGCCAGACGCGCAGCGAGCGCTGCCATTGCAAGTTCCACTGGTGCTGCTTCGTGGCCTGCGACGAGTGCCGTGTCACCGAGTGGGTCAACGTCTGCAAGTAGCGCCCCCCCCATGCACGGAAACCCCCCCGGCCACGCCGCCACGTGCCATAGGCCAGGAGGGGGAGCGGAGCTGGTAGGGGCTCCCTGCCCCACCCCGGCTGCGGGGAGGGGGCACAGCAGGGGTGTGGAGCGGAGACGGCGCGGTGCGTGTCTGGGGGGCCAGGCCTGCTCCCAGTGGGGCTCAGGACTGGGCACAGCGGGGGCCCGGGCCCTCTGGCCAGGGGCAGGGGCCAGACGGGGAGGAGCCGGTGCCCGCTGCGGCGCGGCCCACGCAGCGTGAATCATGCAGCTGGCATCTCCCTGCCCCTCCCCGGCTTCGCCCCTGGGCTATGAAAAGCAAAGCAAAGCGGCAGGGAGAGGCAGGGCCGTGGCCCCGTCTGCCCGGGCTCTACCACGCTCGTCTTGTCTGGGCTGGGGGGCCGCAGCCGAACCCCTGCGGGCAGACCCGGATCATGGGCACCTGCTCCACCGGGCACGGACCAGCCCCCCGGGTCTCCCAGCAGGTTGTGGGGGCAGGAGACCACCTGAACCCCGGGGCCACACGGGAGACGAGGGGCTGAGCCATCGCCAGGGGCTGCCGTGGGGACCCCGAACAGTGGTGCTGGCAGGTTGGGTACCCAGGATCCCCTTCTGCCCGGCTGCTGCCCCGGGCACGTCTGCAGCCCCCCACTCGGGTCCACCGAGGGCTCGGGCCCCGGAGCCAGGCACCTCTGGCAGCCTGGCTCCAAAGCAAGCACGTTGCCTTGCGTGACATGCACCGGTCCTGGAACAGGGGCGGGCATCATCGGCGTGGGCACGCTGTCCGGTCCCTGCCTGCATCCCGATGCCTGGTCTCCGGGCCCGGTGATCAGCGCCCCGCTGGCATTCCCCGCCAGCTGCCTCTGCAGAGCAGTGAGGTGCTTTGCTGGGAGCATCGCGGGGTCCTGGAGCCCCCTGCACCCCCACGGCCTGGGGCTGGGTCTCACGGCTTCCACCTTCCTGAGCAGCCCACATGCCCTTGACCTTTGTGGCTGCACCGGAGGCTTCAGGGCCTGAAGCAGCAGCTGGATGGAGCCCACTGGGGTTCAAGACAATGTCGTGGGCCTGATCCTCAGCCTGGAGAGTCCCCGGTTTCCCCTAGCCCCAGTCTGGGGGGCCCGTGCCTCCCCTGCTCCTGGGTGGGGAGCTCTCCCCTGGGATGGGACTTTCCCCGGAGACGAGGGCGGCCCGGTGTGAGTAACTGCTCTGGTATTCGCTCCCCGCTTGCACGCTCCAAGCCTGCTCACCGCGCTCGTGCCCCCGGGCACAGGCAGGGAACGCCCAGCCCCGGCCCGCTCCGTTCGGTCCCTGGGCCCGTGTGTGGCCAGGGGGCTGCACCCGGGTGACCCCCCACCCTGGGGACAGGGGGCTGACATGGGGCAGCTGCCCCAAGATGCCCTCAAGCTGCATGGCCCTGCTTGCTTTGGGGGGCATGGATCCCGGGCTCTCTGGGCAGAGAACCCAGAAGTCCTGGGACCTCCCTCCCAGTGGGGCGTGTGGACGGACTGGAGCAGACTGGCCCCTACCCCCCGCAGACTGGCCCCTACCCCCCCCCCCATGATACCCGTGTCCCAGGCTGGCGGGGCTCCGGCCCCTTCACCCCAGCGCTTGCACGGCCAGGTTCACCTGCAGGGGGTGCTCTCGCACCAGCCCCCGACTCCCGCCGTGGTGCCATTGGCCGACCCCCCTGTCAAGTGGCATCACTTCTGCTCCTCGATTGGTCGGTGGTTCATTGAAGGTGGCAGCCTTGGGTGGTTTTCGGGGTTGCCATTGGCTGAGAGGTGCCGCGCTCCCACCCCCTATAGGTGTGGGCGTGTCCTGGTCGTTATTGGGGCAATAAAGCCCAGCGGGCGGCCAGGCCAGTCTGGTCTGGGGAGCCCCCGAAGGGGCCTGATCCCAGCACGGGAGGGCCAGGGCCAGGGAGCCACCTCCAGCTAGAGCAGAATCAGGATCGGGGCCACGGGGGGAGCAAAGGTGGGGGGAGAAGGAAGCCGGGCCGGGAGGCGCCGACATGAAAGCGCAGTGAGGCAGGGCGGATGAAAGGCCCCGCGCCCCTGCCCGGGGTGCACTTCAAGGGGCCGGGTGGAGCTGGGAGCCCTGTAATCCCGACGCTGCCTGCTCTCATGTGGTTGCCTGCAGCTGCCTGCGGTCGCCCCAGCCCCGCTGCTCCGCTCCGCGCAGGGACTTTCCAGCTGGGGGGAGAGGGGGGGGGACTTAATGACAGCCTGGGAGGTGCCCGCCAGCGCCCTGTAATCACCGCACAGGGGGCGGCGGGCATGGAGCACGTGCAGGGCCACGGAGACCCCAGGGGAGCGGGGAGCCCCTCTGGGGGGGGCTGCAGGTCGGGAGTGAGGGGCCGACCTGCAGCCGGGGGGTGCATGATGCCCAGGATAAAGGGAAGAGGGCAGCTGAGCCCTAAGCCCAGCGGTGGGGGGTATCCAGGCTGCAACCCCCTTGCTCTTTGCCCCGCTCTGTCTGGTGGCATCAGGCTTCAAGTGCAAACCTCAAGAGCCCCAAATGGGGCTTCCCCCCTCACCAGATACCGGGGCCACCGGCTCCCACTCTGCAGCCAGGCCTGGACCTGAGCCTCGCTCCACCCCTGGCACGGGGTGGGGGTTGTGCAGCCCCCGGGGCCAGTGTGCACGCTGGGTGATGGGGGCCCTATCCCGGCCTGGCCCCCAGGGAAGCCAGAAGCTGGCAGGGCCCCACAGCAGCCCCACCCCAGGTGCCAGCAGCTCCCGTCGCTCCCGCAGCCAGAGGCACCCGGGCACGTAAGCTGGGGTGGGAGCACGTGGCCGTGCGCTGGGTGCCGCCGGGGACAGGGGACACCGGGCCGCTTGCAGCCCGTCAACCCCATTGAACCTCGTGGCTCAGCCCTGCCGTGCTCAGCGCCCTTCACCCGTCCCTGCTGGCTCCCCCTTTGCCCCATTTCTCAGGCTCAGCCCCACCTCCCATTGGTGCTCCATATGTCTGGGGGTTGAAGCCCCCCACAGAGGCGCTGGGTGCTGGGGCTGTGCCAATGCTCCTGCTGGGACGCAACCCCACAGGGTCCTGGCTACAGGCTTTTGCCCCACACTCATGCTGCCTTGTGGGGGAAGGCAGGGTTTTGCCCCCTGCTCAGCCTGGCCCGGCCTTGGGGGGGTTTCCCCTCCTTCTGCAGCACGGCCTGGGCCTGGGCTCTCTGCAGCGCCCACCACCCCCCGGCAGCAGCAGGACGCTGGGTTGCGGACCCCGCTGTGTCCTGGGGGCGGGGGCGATGCCCGGGGCTGTGTCGGGGCGACGGTGTTGTGCGGCTCTGAGCTTGCACACGGGTTTATCTGGGCGGGTCTGATCCGACCTCGACCCCGCAGCTCCCTGCTGTCTCTGATTCAGTTTGTCTCTAAGGGGCACTTCAGCCTTCGGCCAGACAGCTGCGGTGGGCACCGGGCTCGGGGCCTTCTCCTGAGACGGGGGAACCCCTCGGATACCCACGGGCTTTCCTGGAAGCTCCTGCCCACACAAGGGGCACAGCCCATGGGTCTTGTACCCAGCCCCATCAGCCCTCCGGGACTCCCCAGCACGGCCCCAGGGCCCTTCCCTGGGTGCAGATGGGCTGGAGGGGAGGCAGAGCCGGGTGCAGGCCTGGAGGAAGCTTCCTGGCTCCTGGCAGCTGAGTGCAGCACCCGCCCTGGCACGTCCCTTTCTGGAGCTGGGGGGCACGAGGTCCCCACAAGCTGGGCAGGCCAAGGGCACCCTGTGGCCTCCCCCTGGAGCCATAGGGAAATGCCTGCCCGCCTGGCTCTGCTTCCCGCACCCCAGCCCCAGCTCCGGCGCCTGTGGCTAATTCCAGCCTCCCGTCCGGGCGAGGCTGCGTCGTGCCCATGACGCACCCCAGAGGTGGCTGCATCTCAGGCTGGGCCTGGACGTGCGTCAGCCCCTGCGCCGCCGGGGCCTGCGGGGCCGGAGCAGCTGGGGAGCATTGCAGAGAGGCGCTAATTATTTAAGGCGGGACGGGATAGGGTAGGCGCTGCACCGGGGGGGCCGCGGGCTGGCTCCCAGGCCGGCTCTGCTCCCACACGCTGGGCCCTGCTCGGCATCTCGCCGGCGCTTTCATGTCAGGGATTCACGCCAGCTTTGCATAACGAGCGCCGGCAACGCAGGGGGAACATGGGGAGTGGGGGCTGCTATGGGGCCCAGGCGCCTGGGCCGGGGACAAGGAGCCTGGCCAGGGTGCCAGGGGCAAGGGGACCATGCCAGTCCTCCCTGGGCGATGGCTGCAATCCCCCCCTGCCTCTCCTCCAGGCTGACTCCCACCGTGCCCCTGCCAGCCGTCCCGCACGGGCCCTGATCCGGGACCCCCAGCTGCACTCGCTGCTCTGGGTGCCCCCCAGGAGACACAGACTGCAAGACGAGGAGCCCCCCCACCCCTGCCCTGGTGCCCAGGACAGCACTGAGCGGCAGGCACTTGGAGCAGACGTGCTCAGGCAACCAAAGAAATCCCAGACTCCCAGCGCCGCGGGGCCGGCAGGGAGCGGCAGGGTCACATCCAGCCCGAGGTAGGATCAGCCCAAGACAAACCCCGTGTGCCACCTTGGAGCCGGACAACACCGTCGCCTCTGACAGCCCCCGGCATCGCCCCCGCCCCGGGGTAAAGGGGGGCCGCGGCCCTACCTGCACCCCGGCTTTGAGGAGGGCTCAGGGGAGCAGGCAGGACAAGCCCAGCCCAGCCAGAGCCCTCGGCACTGGGGGGAGCCCCCCAGGTGGAGAAGCACGGGGGTGTCTGGGAGCTGGCAGCTGCTGCCCGGCCCTGGGGAAAGGCAAGGATCAGCGGGGCCATGACCAGCTCCAGGGACCAGCGACCCCCCCACTTCCAGTCCGGCGGGGTCCCCGTGCTCCCACACACACTGCCCTGGTGCTGGGGGGTGCTGGGCTGGCCCTGTGTGCCCCGAGGCACCACGGGGGAGATACCGAGGTGTCTGGGCACCTTGAGGCCCCTGCCCCTCTTCCACTCTGGGGTGCGGCCTG